AGGACTATCTTCGACTAGCCGTTCCGAATTTTGAAGTGAAAGACTAGAGAAAATGCATCATGTTAATACCACCCACCGCCGACCCGTGGACTAGTTTTTACCAACGAATAGTGAGATTGACCGTGACATTATAACATACCCACGGCTGAAAAGAGTATGCATGTTCGGTGAAGGGATTCGAACCCGTGAACCGCAGATTACGAGTTGAGTGCCCTAACCAACAGGCCATACCAGTGTTCTAACCACCAGACCATGCCAGTGTCCTAACTAACAGGCCATGCCAGTGTCCTAACCACCAGACCATGCCAGTGCCCTAACCAACAGGCCATGCCAGTGTCCTAACCACCAGACCATGCCAGTGTCCTAACCAACAGGCCATGCTAGTGTCCTAACCAACAGGCCATGCTAGTGTCCTAACCATCAGGCCATGCTAGGCCCAAATCAAGTAAGAGATACTATCGCTCATTGAGCCTTTGTTAGCAATACTTACCAGAAATCAAGTAATTTGTTTTAAATTTATTTTAATTCAATCGTATTATTTTATGGTCAAGAAGATTTATAAACCAGAAGTCGGTAAATATAGTGTGACTAATAATTACTTTTATTAAAGTGTCTTTGATTTACTGCTCTTCTAAATTAATGCTGTGACAAGTAAAAGAACATTAAGTGACTGTGCCTGTCTATACTAATAAACAGCCTGTGTGTATGTGTGTCAGTCAGGCAGCGCCATAGCTCCAAGAGGAAAGAAACCTAAAACTTTTCACGCATACTAAGGGAACTCTGAGGATGAGCATCTAGGTAATATTTTTTTTTCTCTCTCAAAAACATTTTGGCCAATATTTTTGGCCTGTAATTTTGCCCTTAAGCCATAAAAAGAGAAGAGTATATGCTGCCATCTGTCGCTTGGTAGAACAAATTGATAGGGAATGAGTGTTTAATAATAATAACGGCCCAGCATGGCCAGGTGGTTAAGGCATTCGACTCGCAATCTGAGGGTCGCGGGTTCGAATCCCCGTCACACCCTTTCAGCCGTGGGGGCGTTATAATGTGCGGTCAATCCCACTATTCGTTGGTAAAAGAGTAGCCCAAGAGTTGGCGGTGGGTGGTGATGACTAGCTGCCTTCCCTCTAGTCTTCCACTGCTAAATTAGGGATGGCTAGCGCAGATAGCCCTCGTGTAGCTTAGCGCGAAATTCAAAAACAAACAAATTAATAATAATAATAACAGTATTGTAACGACAGGCTTTTTTTAAACACGTATAAAAGTGTCATATTATTGGCAGAATTATTATATTTAAATGTTCGTTCGTTTGAATCTCCGATATTCAAATTTTAAAAAAATATTTTTTAATAAAAGTCGTTATTACGTGTGCAGCGAAAAAAAAATTGAAATACGGTCATATTTGCTTTTTTTTCGCTGCACACGTAATAACGACTTTTAATAAAAAAAAAAGATTTTAAAAAAGTTGAAGGAGATACAAGCGAAACTTTCTTCATTTCTGAAGCGAGAAGCGCAGTTGTGATGTTTTACCAAAATTGGTAGACATTCATACGGCCCATGCTGGGGTACATACAAATTTTCAGTTTTGAATTTTGCGGTTCTTATTGGCGTTTTTGCATTTTTTATCACTACTTCGCCCCCTGTTGGTCCATACGGAGTTACATGTAAAGTTGCGGTTTCATATTTTGTGTTTTGCAGTTTTTATAGGCGTTTTTTACAATTACATATAAGAGAAGCAACTTTTCATGTCCTAGTTAAACCTTTCATTAATCATGAATTCACATAAGTTCCGTCCTTGGAACAGAAACTCCAGCTAGTCTATATAATTGTTTATTTGTTTGAATTTCGCGCAAAGCTACACGAGGGCTATCTGCGCTAGCCGTCCCTAATTTAGCAGTGGAAGACTAGAGGGAAGGCAGCTAGTCATCACCACCCACCGCCAACTCTTGGGCTACTCTTTTACCAACGAAAAGTGGGATTGACCGTCACATTATAACGCCCCCACGGCTGAAAGGGCGAGCATGTTTGGTGTGACGGGGATTCGAACCCGCGACCCTCAAATTGCAAGTCGACTGCCCCAACCACCTGGCCATGCTGGGCCAGTCCATATAAATATAATAATACTGTCTGTTGTATGTTCATTTAACTACTTCGCAGGGTGTGGATGGATATTCACCAAAATTGGTATGGAGGTTCATTAGGTCCATGCGGGAGTACATACACATTTTCAGTTTTGAATGTTTCGGTTTTTATTGGCGTTTTTTACCACTACCTCGCCCCCTGCTGATGGATCTTCAACAAAATTGGTATGGAGGTTCATTGGATCCATGAGGGGGTACACACATTTTCAGTTTTGAATTTAGCTGTTTTTATGGGCGTATTTTACCACTACCTCGCCCCCTGTTGATGGATCTTCACTAAATTTGGCATGGAGATTTGTTGGATCAATGGGGAGATACATGCATATTTTTTTAATTACAAATTAAGTTGAGAAGTTTGGCTAGCTGAGAGAATGATTGATTATACCAATTAAATAGAGAGCCGAACAAGTGTTGTTACAAAACTGTTGTTGTTTTACATTTTTAACATAAAACCACCCATAAAAGTGTTAGAATTCATATTATTGGCGTAAATGATTGTATTTAAATGTTTGTTCGTACTAATTCCATATTCATAGAATGATTGAAAACAGTACGTCTTTCTTTTCAGTATTAGTACCTTTATGCATTTCATATGTATTCTTACATGAAAAGTGAAGTTTGGCTCCTTTATGTTTAAAAATAGCTAAACATCAGCCCTCTGTTCAGGTAATATCCGGACAACGAAGGGTAAAGACGGCTAGTCAGCATTAAAGACATTAAGTAATCTTGCGCTTGGTGTATACCGAAGACTTGCGAAGTTTTCCAGTTAAAACGAGGAATTCGTTACTTATTGAGGTAAAGATTAACGTATCTGGTACGTAGATGTGTGTCTGTCTGTGTTGGCAGTGGAGAATGTTGAACAACTTGGTTGAGTCAATTTTGTAATTTTACTGTCTAAACGAGTGGATTTAAACAGGTGGATTTAATGGACATTAATATATATTTATAGATATTCTGCCCAGTGAGGACAACTAATGCAATAGTGGTACAATGTCAACTGAGAATACGCGTAAGTTTACGAAAAATAATAATTGGGGACTTGATAAGCTTACGATACTATGTAATCAGCTGAATACTTCATATCACATGCTTTGTTGTAAAATTCGAGTGTAAAATCATGTGACTTATTTGTCGCCGTAGCAACATGATACCCAGAACTCTTGTTTATTACCATAGAAACATGATCTCTCTCTCATCTCAAACGGAGTTTGATCCGTAGGGTTAACAAATCGTATCTAAGCTATGCTATTATTATGCTCATTGACAAACGAGCCATCCTGTTTGTTTCAGGGTCTCTAATCAGACGGTGTGTAATCATATTGTTGTCCTCGGTTTACACCTTCCTCAAGTGTATTAGATACATATAAAAACATTCATACATATACAGACATACACAGAAATCAAACATACACACATACGTACATACAAGTAGATAAATTTGTGTATCTGTGTGTTTTATAGCAAAGCCACATCGGGCTATCTGCTGTGTCCACCGAGGGGAATCGAACCCTTGCTTGTAGCGTTGTAAATCCGTAGACTTACCGCTGTCCCACCGGGGGGACAAGTATATACAACTGTAGTCGTTATATTTTTCTCATAGTTCGTTAGCATATATGATGCTAATAAATGTTATTTATTAACATTTATTGTTCAGTAGTTCTACAATGATCTGGAAAAACTGTTAGCTTTTATAAAAATCATTAAAAATAATCTTATGTAATATAGTCCTTTTCCAAGGATTTGTCAACATGCAGGGTTAAGAAGTGTTTAATATTAACAACTTTATTTCTTTCAAAACAAGAAGAAGTAAATATATGCAGTCAAGTTAAAAGTAATGTTATTTTTCATTTATTGATAAGAGATGTTACACAGGGATGAAAGCCATCGGAGAAATAACTACCGAGTAATTATTCATCTATCCGGCTAATTGTGGTGCCTCTTTTAATATATCTTTATAGAAATATCTAAGCTCTACATATTGCCAGAAGGGCCCTTCGTTACGATTATTAGTATTAGAGTTCTCTAAGGCCTATAACAACGGTGGTTATTTAATGACTACCAGGTAAACCGGAACTAAGGTAATGACAGGTTGGCATGTGATGCTCGGCGAAGTTACTTGGTTACATATTTCTGAGTCTTTGTTTGGTCTGACGTCGATCTTGACAACACAAATCTTATGTCGTGAAGGGAACTGACAGCCAACACACACACACACAAACCGAACTATCCCTTAGTTACTGCTCGCGATCCCATAGTCCTCGTATAAGTCCTACAGAGCAACCGCAAGTATCAGACACAAAAATTTTCCACTTGTACCCAACCACAAGAACGGAGGGAAGGGGGGAGGGAGTAATAATAACTAATGAAAATGAAAAGCGAATATTTACTATATTAACTGTCCCGTAAATCTAACTTAAACGATACAGAATTAACGAAGTTTGAAACAAGTTTCTTTAGGTTACTTGTTTTACGACAGGCAATTAAACCGAATAAGATAAAAATATGAAGAAATAAACCAATCAGGATCTTTTCTTTCGTAAATTTGTTAAATTGATTCTCTACTTTCGTTATCTCGAATAAAATTAAAACAATAAATTTGAATTTTATTATGAAACTTTACGCAGCATTTTAGTTTTTCTGCTTAATACGGCTCTAACATTCTATAAGCGTAAGCCTATAATGAAACTTTACTTAGCTATCAATAACAACTCATATAAAATTCGAGTCATAGACTCATTAAATACAAGATGGTTGTTAGGATTCACTATACTTAATTAAACCTGAAAAAAACAAAAAAAACGAAAACTACTATTGTTGGAAAAAGTTACAACGTTTATATAATTATAATGTTATACTTACATAAACTTGAAAAACAGGAAAAATCCGATTGCTGGAAAAAAGTTACAAAGCTTTTCGTCAGACACTTCAGCAGATATTTCTCTTGCAACATCTCAACCAACAACTGGTCCAGTTATCAACGCTAGTTTCAAGTTTTGAACAAATCGACTTTCAAAATCTACGTATCTCCACGAGCCGATGTTTCCATTTATGATCGTCATATTTTAAGATCTGTGCAAGAACACAGCTAACAGATGTTTCCGTATATCAAAGTTATCTTCAAGTTATCTTCAAAAAAAAGATAAATAGTACTCACTCCATTCTCCTGTTTAGCATTGTACCAAAAAAAGACAAGTGATTCTCACTCGATTCTTCTGCTTAGACATTGTACCAACAAAACACAAGTGTTTCTCACTTCATTCTTCTGTTTAGACATCGTACCAACAAAAGATAAATGACACTCACTCCATTCTCATGTTTAGACATTGTATCGACAAAAGATAAATGGTTCTCACTCCATTCTTCTGTCTAGACATTGTATCGACTAAAGATAAATGGTTCTCACTTCATTCTTCTGTTTAGACATTGTACCAACAAATTATAAATGGTTCTCACTTCATTCTTCTGTTTAGACATTGTATCGACAAAAAACAGATGGTTCTCACTCCATTCTTCTGTTTAGACATTGTATCGACAAAAGATAAATGGTACTTACTCCATGTTTAGACATTGTACCTACAAAAGACAAATGGTTCTCACTTCATTCTTCTGTTTAGATATTGTACCAACAAAACAAAAATGGTACTCACTCCATTCTTCTGGTTAGATATTGTATCGAAAAAACGTAAATGGTACTCACTCCAGTCTCCTGTTTAGACATTGTACAGACAAAAGACAAATGGTTCTCACTTCATTCTTCTGTTTAGACATTGTAGCAACAAAAGATAAATGGTACTCACTCCATTCTCCTGTTTAGACATTGTACCGACAAAAGATAAATGGTACTCACTCCATTCTCATGTTTAGACATTGTAGCAACAAAAGATAAATGGTACTCACTCCATTCTCCTGTTTAGACACTGTACCGACAAAAGACAAATGGTTCTCACTCCATGATTCTGTTTAGACATTGTATCGACAAAAGACAAATGGTTCTCACTTCATTCTTCTGTTTAGACATTGTATCGACAAAAGATAAATGGTACTCACTCCATTCTCCTGTTTAGACATTGTACCGACAAAAGATAAATGGTACTCACTCCATTCTCATGTTTAGACATTGTATCGGCAAAAGATAAATGGTACTCACTCCATTCTCCTGTTTAGACACTGTACCGACAAAAGACAAATGGTTCTCACTCCATGATTCTGTTTAGACATTGTATCGACAAAAGACAAATGGTTCTCACTTCATTCTTCTGTTTAGACATTGTACCAACGTAAGACAAATGGTTCTCACTTCATTATACTGTTTAGACATTGTACAAACAAAAGATAAATGGTTCTCACTTCATTCTTCTGTTTAGACATTGTATCGACAAAAGATAAATGGTACTCACTCCATTCTCCTGTTTAGACATTGCACCGACAAAAGACAAATGGTTCTCACTCCATGATTTTGTTTAGACATTGTATCGACAAAAGACAAATGGTTCTCACTTCATTCTTCTGTTTAGACATTGCACCGACAAAAGACAAATGGTTCTCACTCCATGATTTTGTTTAGACATTGTATCGACAAAATATAAATGGTACTCACTCC